ACAGTAGCATTGATTGATATTCCATTCGCAAAAAGTAAATTCCATCAATGATAGACTAAAATCAGTACTCTTACCACAAACTAGATATGGGAACAAGAGAGCACATTCTTAATATTCAAAAATAGAGACCATCAAAAAAGCCGATTCGAAGCGTATCTAATCAACCCAACTATAAACCAAAATATAGTGGGATATTTTGGATATATTAATAGAAGAAGAGAATGTATGGAACGCAATAAAGGAATGAATGCAATTGAATGCAATGTAGCAAGGAAAATATCCAGAGGAAGATCTCCAGCATGAAGATCGGATCAAATAAAGGACTGGTTACTCATTCTCCGAAGCAAAACAACACGCGCAGAAAAAAGATAATTGGATAGAAGCATTTAAACAAATTACATGACGCCACACAATCTTACGAAGGAGAAAAGATATAGGAGGAAGAGGATAGCTGATTTTCTTGTCTAAAATATTTAATGTTCCCTATTACTTCCGCTAAAACTGGAAGTCCCAACAACTTGGTATTTTAATGAAACATCGTATAATATGAGTTAATACTTCCCATATGATCACTTTCAAAATTATTTCAAAAATTGCAGCGTTTTTAATATATTCTTCTTTTTTGCAGATTATGTTTATATGGGATTGAGCCACACTTGAGTGTAATGAAAATTACATTTTTAAATACTGTGTGATGTGTCGATTTCCACTCTGGAAATGGTTTTCAAAGAAGATTATTTTAAAATATTCTGCAGAAATGTATAATCAAGTTGTAGTTAGGAAGTTATGTTTTTTAAAATTGATAGTTGACTTGTAAGTAATAGCAGGTTTGTAGTTGAAAAAAATCTTAGGGTTGTCTTTTTACCCTCGGGATATCAAATTCTGACCGTTTTGTATATTTTTTTGTATTATATGTTTGTATTATGTCTGTGTACCTATAGTACATATTTGTGTATTGTGTGCTGGATACATATTGTGTATAAATTGTAGATGGCATGTCTCGGACTTCCTATTGTTCGTATATTCTTCTTATTCATTTCTTCTTTTAGTATTGGCAATAAATGGTTTATTTGGCAATAAAATCTCTGTTCTTCATGTATGTTAAATGCTCGTTTGTCCTGACACTTAGTAGCTGTGCTGTTTCTCCTACATAAAAATTAGCAATATTTTAGTAGAGTTAGAGTTAGAGTATTTTATAATAGCAGCTCTTTGATCTTTCTTGTGTGTTGTTGGGTTTGGTTTTGGACAGGATAGATTTTAGTGTGTTGATTGTTTTGAATTTTTTTGTGACGTAGGTACTTATTTTTTACCTATCCTTTTCAATTTTTCTGATAAGTTCTTTACATATGCTATTGTTGTCATCTTTCAATTTCTTCTTGTGAACGTTTCTTGAGTACTTGTAATGTTTTGCTTTTCCCGTTAGACAATCTTAAGAAATTCCTTATTAATAAATAACAATGGGTAGACATTTATTTGTCAAAACCGTTATTAGCAGGTTTTTTCTTCATTAAATGAGTTTTTGTGAGAGCAGGAGCTTCGGTTTCTTTCATACGATGCTTTGATAATTCCTCTTTTGATATTTACGTTGTGGTTGGAGTGGTAATTTAAATATATCTTGGTGTGGGTTGGTTTTCTGTAAACGTTGTGATTAACACATCCAGAAAATGAAATGAATTGGTGTTTCCTTTTTTCAAATGGAGAACACATCATCTGCACAACTCCAATATACTGTGGGTTGTTTTTCTTGTTTGTACACAATGTTCTGTTCGAAATCCTTAATGAATATATCTGCTAATACTGGAGATAAGGACGGGCCCATGGCTAATCCGAAATGTTGCTTATAGAAATCGATATGTTCGCACATATCTACATTTCTCCACCATACTGTGGGTTCTTTTGCTTCTATCTGTACAATGTTTTGTTCGAAATCCTTCATCAATATATTTGCTAATAATGAAGATATGTAAGAAAGGGCCCATGGTTAATCCAAAATGTTGCTTATAGAAATCAATTTGATCGGTAACCGAGATTATAAACAATATAATATATTGATCCTGTTTAATAAAGCATTACTTTCTGATCGATATAATATACTTCAGTATTCTTCAGTGGCGGCCGGTCAGGGTCGGCAGTGCCGACCCACACCTTTATAGATATTATAGATTTTTTTAATATTTATTTTAATCAGTTTTGTTTTTTTCGGCAAGCCGATCCCAACCTTACGATTTACTTGTAAAAATCAACAGAATATTAGTTGATTAGCAACCAAATATACATTTTTTCCCATATGAACTTAATTACCAAGTACGGCAAATTTAAATTTGCCGATGTTTCATTTGGATTGGTGATTGGTCGCGAACTGTACCTACATTGCGAGCGTGGGATGAAATTTTATTTCATATAAGAACGTAAGTAGTAAAGTGAAGTGATATTCAGTGCACGAACTAGCTTTTCTTTTTGTGATTTATTTTTATTTTCTAAAGTAATACTGTGATACGTTCCGTCTGCCGTAAATAGTTAAAGGTTAAAGAGTTAGTATTAGAAGTTTTTTTTTTTTAATTAAAATGTAAACAAATTCAGGTAAATTAACCTAAAAAATGCAAGCCATGGGAGAAACTGTAAGTATTGATAAGTCTGAAATTGTAAATTATATTTTGCATAATGGGTTTTCGTCTATTCCATACGAAGGACAAATTGTTATTAAAAATAAGGGGCGTCCTTTGCCTAAAATGTCCCGGCTTATAAATATTAGTGCGGGTAAGGGAAGTAATAGATCATTTTCAGATAATTGGTAAAGTAAGTACTCATGGCTTACCGGAAGTGAAATAAAAAACAAAATTTTTCTGTTGGCCTTGCATTTTATTTTCGATAAATATGGGCAAACATCAAAATCCGTGGTGTGAATCTGGTTACGATAATTTAAAGGAATTATTTAGGGTTTACATAAACATGATATTTCGAAAGATCATACAGCCTAATGCCGAAAACCAAATATCTATGTTTCATTAGATAATGCCCAACGTGAAAATGCTATTAAACTTAACGAAATTGTAAAAAATAATCACGCAGTTTTACGTCGTTTAATTGATATTGTAATTTTTTTAAGTTGTCAGGAATTATCTTTTAGGGGACACGATGAATCGGAGCATTCGTTAAATCAAGGTAATTATAGAGAACTAATAAAAATGTTTAAAAAATACGATTTGGAATTTTCTAATTTACTCTCTGATTCGAAGACATTTAGCGGTGTATCTAAAACAATCCAGAATAAATTAATAGAATCAATTATTTACATTTTGAGTAACGTTGTTGAATCTGAGATTCAGGAAACCATTTGCTTTTCACTAGAAGTAGATGAAACTACCGACATATCATGTCATTCACAATTCTCAATTGTTGTTTGATACGCGTTACGTGGTAATATCTATGAGAGGTTTTTAGGTTTTACAGACGTGAGTGAAAGCCATAAGGCAGAATATATTTTTGGTGTTTTAAAGGACAGATTAAAATTTTTTGATATCATAAATAAATTAGTAGGGTAAACTTATGACGGCACTGCCATGTTGTCTGGTGAATTAAATGGTTTCCAGGCAAAATTTAAAACTATTGCACCGCAAGCTTTATTTACTCACTGTCATGCGCATAGAATGAATTTAGTTTTGCAGGATATATGTAAAAAAATTAAAGAATGTCGTCTTTTTTTTTGCCAGTTTAAGCGGATTTGCTTCATTTTTTTCAAGCTCGCCTAAACGGATTAATGTTTTAGAACGGTTTGTTTCGAAAAAAAAAAAAAAAAAAATGCCAACGCCAAGTTTGTCAGACGCGATGGAATTTTAAATCTCGGTTAGTTTACACTGTAACAGATTTTCGTGAACAGCTTTTGGAAGTTTTTGATTTTAATATTGAATGTGACGATTTTGAAAGTGATGATATCTCAATCCGTGAAGCAATCGGTTTGAAAACTTTATTAAATGATTACTCTTTTAACATACTTTTAAATATTTTTAAGAAAGTGTTTATGCAAACCGATTTGATATTCATTGTTGTTAAAAGTCAGTTAACTAACATTATTCATTCCAAAAATAGAATAACAAGACTGGTGCAAAATCTCATAGATTTTCGTAATGATAGTAATTTCCAGTATATACGCAGTGACGTTTTGGACTCGCTTGATATTTCCGAACCCCCCAAAAAAAAAGACAAAGGTATGACACAGAAACAGATCTCGAAAAATGAATATATTTTGAAATTTTGGATACTATTATTATGGAAATAGATACTCGTTTTTCGAATTTTGAAGATTTGCATTTAAAGAATTTGATTCAAAATTTAAAAGTTACGCCAAAGAATTTCCAAGATATTTATTAGGCAGGTTAATTAAAAATTATCCATCCTTCTTTTCTCGAGAACGAGAATTCTCTTACCTCAAAATAATCAAAACCGTATTGTCGAAATACCATGAAACAAAAGACAATGTCAAGCTTGTCTCAAATGTCAGTAGAAAAAAAAAATTTTAAAATCTCTCTAAAACCCTAATAAATTTTACGATGACGTTATTACCCATTTTGCTACTTCCAAACATCGTAGACTAGAGTTAATTTATAAACATGGTTGGGTTCTAAATTTATAGGAAAAAACAAAAAAACAAGAAAACAGAAAATCTCCTATGATGATTGAAGTCTTTATTAGACGGTATACCTATCTGAGGAGCCAAACAATACCTTGCCGAACTTGTCTCTCAAGCCATGAGCCGCCACTGGTATTGTTAGATGGGTCCAATGTAACTTTTATAAAATATTTAGCTGACTTTAATACTCGATTCCAATCATGTTTTAATAATTGATTTAATAAAGGTTAACCCCTTTTTTAAGAAAGATACTCAACATGTTCTCAATATGAGTCTCTTTTCAAGTCAATATTTTGTCAAATATTATTCCCAGTCCCAGGTATTTAGTTACTCGTATATTGAAGATAGCTGAACATAAAAATAAAAGCTTTCAAACTTTAATAATATTTATTTAACATTAATTAAAAATAAAATTAAATAATATCATAAAGATTTTAATAAATACAGCTAAAAATATTGTAAGAAGTGCGTAGTGGGCAAACATTAATTTATAATATTTAACTTTTCCTTTGGGTACAGTGTCTAATGTATCCTGTAGAAGATACAACCTACTTCCTCTTACATATGTACGGAAGTAAATACTCCAGTCTAAGTTCGCCATGCTGAATTCAAACATCTCTTTGTCTTTCTCATTCAGTTTCTTCCACATGGACTGAACATTTTGGTTGCTAAATTTAAAACTATTCAGGCCAAAGAACGCGAGGATTTCTGCAAATTTATTTATTTTTTGGTAACCTTTCACCATCCTAAAAATAAAATTTGTTTAAAAAGATTGAAATGGTAGTAAATTGCAAAATATATTATTAAATACGACATTTCAGTAAACATCAAAAAAGTAATTTGTAGATGCATTAATATTCTATAGAAATCTGTAAAGGCACATAAGAATAAAAACCAACATTAAAAATTAATTACTCTCGTCTATCAACAGATGGACGAGAGATCTCTTTGGCTTTATTCTTATTAGGGATCGGCTTTCCTAATTAATTTTTCCATAAGTTTCTATCTTGGGTCATACCAATAGCAATTCCCTTTTCCAACATGTCTTACGTAGGTGTCTCCCTAAATGTTCTTTGGTTTTCCTTCCCTATTCCTCCCAGAAACTAGCAAATTAGTAATTCTTCATTTTGGGTGATTAACGCCCTCATTTTCAAGTCAATTTATGCCAAAACTAGACTTCCCCTAATACTTTTTCCAATCTGAAATTTGTATTACTAGTCATCTTCATTCCATTCTATCTAGCGCTTTCTCCGACCAATCGATGACTTTCAAACTTTTTAGTTCCTCTTGTATCCTTTGGAACCATCTTATCTTGGTCTTCCACTTCCTCTTTTAACGATTAAACCTTTTAATAGTAGTTACGTCTCTATGCGTTGGTTTTGTTTATTCGATCATTTTCCTTTATCCTTTCAGTAACCTTTCTACACCATAGATAGATCTCAACATTTGTTTTTCGGTTGATGAGAATAGATTTTCAGCATTCTACAATCTCCTTAGTCACCTGTCTAACTATAATCCTTACTCTTTGAATGTTAACCTCCTTGGTATGACGTTGGCTGTAGACTTTGAAAATTGTCGGTAACTTTATTTCTGACACTGCTTGTCATAAATCAGTGTCACTGCCATGTTGTTCTATTTTCTATTGCTGTTGTTTATTATATTGTGTACAATTTTATGTTAATTAAAACTTCATCATACTACTTATAAGTTTTGCATTATTTTAATTAAATCATCATAAATAAAGAAGTATTGAAGGTATGTAGTGTAGTTGAAACCCCAGTTCCTGAAGTTCCTTTATTTTGTAACCTGACTTCATATTGTAAACTTATTGCAGTAAAATCACGCAGGCACTACTAAAAATCAGATTTTTATTAAAAATGAGGCGAAGAAGCTTTTAAGTCTTTATCACCAAAAACGAAACCCAGAAGAAGCGCCTTGTCATTGATTACCTACTCTCAAACAATTAATCGATTAACTTAACTTGATGCCTATCCACTACCAAATATCTGGAAATGGCATCCAATGTATCACAATTCACTGTTTTTAGTGCCATATATTTCCAAAGCGCATACTTCCATACCAAAAAATGTACACAGCTTTTGAAGCCGATGAGAAACTGTACCAATTTCGTCGTTTTCCTTTTGGTCTTACCAATGGTGTAGCCAGTTTATAAAGAGCAATCCTGCAGTAGCTCATACGCACAGAAAATTTCGAAGGGATATATGCCTATCAGGATGACATAACTGTTTGTGATAAGGCAAAGGTAAAACATGACAAAAATCGTAAAAATTTTCTGAAGCCACAGACAAATATGACTTGACTCTAAACAAAACGAAGAGCAAATTTAATCAGACAGTAATCAACTTACATAATTATACTATAGGATCAAACCATGTTATAAAGCCTAATGGTAGCAGACTACAACCCTTATTAAAAATGCCTCCACCGAATGACACTGCATCTCTTATAGGGGTATGGGGTATATTTGCCCATTATTCAAAATGAATTCCGAAAGGGTCCACACATTAACTTAACACTTTTCTATTGAACGAAGATGCTTGATCTTGTTTTGAACATCTGAAATCTATTGTCGCCTGTTTACGCTACCAATAAAAATATGCCATTTGTTGTTGAAACTGATACTTCAGAACACTTAATTGCTGCTACCTCGAGTCAGAATTCCAGACCATTTGCTTTGTTTTCAACATCACCTAACTCTAGCGAGTAAAACCATTCTGCTGGGGAGAAAGAAGCATATGCTATTGTTTAATCTACTAAAAAGACTACTTAAAAACAAAAACCTGAGCAAAAAAACAAAGACGAAATAGATAAAGCAGCAATTAGAGTGGTGATAACATATGGAGCGGAAGTAATGTGTCTTACGAAAAAGATGAAGAAAAACTAAGAATAATTAAAGGAAAAATTATGAGAAGAATACACGGCCCAATAAAGTCAGAACGAGGATAATATAGAAGACTGATGAATCACGAAATAATAAATTCACTTAACCGAAAGGTTATTGAAAAAGGTTATCGTAATTTTGGTTATAACAAATATACGTTCTTCTGCGATAATCAGAAGGAAAATTCTTGTTTTAAAATCTTTATTTTACGACTATTAAAATTACAAATCTAAAGGTAATGTTGTTTCTTGTCGAGTCTGTTGATGTCACTTGTCATAAAAAATAGGTCGGCGCACGCCTCCTCGGTCATGGCACCAGCAGCACTCGCGCATAGGATTAACACAGCGTCGTTCAAGGTTCAAAAGAAAGTTTGAATATATGGCGGGACGCAACAGTTATATTATATTATATTAAATCTTATATTATTATTATATTATTATAAATATTATATAAGATATATTAAAACTTATTAAAGCACAAAAACTGAGATCAAATACCAAAAATAAGATGGAAATGGCCAACTACTAGGAGATGAAAATTGCAAACTGGAGAAAAAGATTCAGGACCGGAGAGAGTGGAAAAAGATAGCAGACAAAGCAAAAATACATAATAATCTTTAAAAAATATCCTGAAGGATATATGTATGCGGACTAATTGTCCGCGTTAAATGGATTAAAAAAGCTGATGGAATATTGAGCGACTCATACTCTGCCTAGAGTTATATTTTCTAGTCTCTCCCTAAAGTTTTTGTGACGTTACAAAGTGTTTTGCTCTATCATTTCCACCTTTCTTTATAGGCATAGTTATTAGTGGTTTTAATTAAAACAAAGAATCCTTTTTCTTTTCTAGTAAAATTTTAATGCTAATTTTGAGAAACTTTTACAATTTTTTTTTATTTCCTTTCTCTCAAATATGCAAAATATGCGATCTTTTTGAGGAGTAACCCATAATTTCTATGTTTTGCTTAATCGTGATTATATGAGACGTTTTTAAAAGGGTCGGATAAAATAGTTTTTGCATTCCTTTTAAAAACTAGTCGATTGTCAATCGTTACTTAAATTTTAATTATCCTTTTGCATGAAGTAATTTTGACTTGCCACTCAACATTTCAAACTAAAATTGCCTGTCTCTTGTTATGTACTAACTAATAATTTTCGTTCAATTAGTAATGCAAAAACGATCAGTTGCAAATTAGATTCTACAACCCATCCAACATTTTTATTGTTTAATGGGGGATTACAGTTTTACTAAAGAAAAATTTAATTTCATAGGAACTAACATTTCACACAGATGGAAACTGTGGAAGCAGAAGTATAATTTGTATCTTTTAGCTACTGATAAATGCAGAAAACCGGATGAGGTGAAGATTGCAATTCTACTGAGCCTCCTTGGCGATGAAGGTTTGGAAATATATAACTCTTTCGAATACATGGACAATGAAGACAAAACGAAATTAGAAACAATAATGATCAAATTTGATCAATATTGTAACCGGTATAGAAATATTGTTCATGAACGCTTTATTTTTTTTAAAAGAGATCAGTTACACGAAGAAACAATAGACCAGTACGTCATAGCTTTAAAAACACTAGCGGCAACATGTGACTTTAAAGAGAAAGATACAATAATTCGTGACAGAATTGTGTTAGGAGTTAGCGACCCTAAAATACAAGAAGTTCTTCTTCAACGACCCAACTTGACACTTCAAGAAGCTATTGATATTGGAAGATCCATAGAAGTAAGTAATATATTGCATATAAAAAGAAAGAGCTTACAAAGTACCAAAGGTGTTTCCTTCAGTGGTGCCACAAACGACAACTATGGAAAAGTTCAACAAAATCCCGAATATAGTGAAGTAAACTTTGAACACCGTAATCCAGGTACTGATTCCAACTGTTTAAGCAATACTGAGAGAGTATGGTATAACAAGAAGCAGTTTGATTTTACCCAATGGATTGAACACAGTGAATTAAGTAGTATCGACATATCTGTTACGTTTATGTTTTAAAGTTTTGATATATATGTATATTAAAATAAATAAAGTACATAAGGTATATTAAAAAAATCTAAAAACATGTAAATTCTGCATAATCATTTCCACGTACAGAAAACAGCTTTTACTTTTTGCTATTACCTATTGAAATTTTACCTATTACTATTTTTATGCCTTAGCCCATTAGCGTGTTTTCTTAAAGGATGTAATTTTATTTTTTTTTACATGTTTTGATCTGAAATATCATTTGTTAAAATAATATTATTTTAGTGATAGCTTAATTATTTAGGACTAGACACAATTTTTGTTTGCAATCTATAGAGTTAACTATCATAGATATCTTCTTCTTATTTTTTTATGTAGACACGACTCACGTCTGTTTTTCAATGTGCCTCCAGTAAGTATTTGTTCCATCGTTTTCGTGGTATTCCCACGACCGTCTTCCTATTGAGGAATCGTCTCCTGACGTCTTTATTAATCTATTGATTGCAATTCGAGTTTTATATTCGTTCTATTCTACTCTTCTATTTCCTGCCCAGTCCTTGATGTTCTCCACCTTACATCTACATCGGATAACTGTACTTCCAGCTCTATCGCATTGTGTTTTAGTATTTTTAACTCCTCTGTTTCTAATATCCTTTTTATCCTCTCTATGTAAATTCTGCTTTTCATTTCTTTCCGGATATTTTTATTTCTTGGTATTGTTTTATTTAGGCAATCTGCGGCTCTGTTTGGTCTATTCACTTGATCTTCCACTACTGTTTCGAGCTTTCCGTAGCTAGATAATGTGATGCCTAGAGATTTAAACTTTATCACTTGTTCTATTATCTAACCTTCTAGCTCCAATTTATATCTTGGTAAATTTGCAGTTATAACCATGCATTTTGCCTTTTTTGGGGAAATTTAAATGTTCAATTTTCTGGCGGTTATATTAAATTTGTGCAGCATACGTTGTAAATCATCTTCACTTTTAGAGAGTAGTATTGCATCGTCTGCATAGCAGATTATTTTAGTTGTTTTTCTCCCATTTTGTATCCTTTTTTAGTTCTTACTTTTTTATTAATTCATCCATAATCAGGTTGAACAATAGAGAACTCATGGAATCTCCCTATCTTATCCCATTGCCAACTTCAATAGTGCCAGTTAGTTCTTCTACTTTTACTTTTATTGTATTGTTTTGGTAGACATTTTCGATTTTGATTTTGATTATTCCGAGAGGTATCTCTCTTGCGCGTAATGTAATTTATCAAATAGTTTATCACCGATATAACAGTAAATATTTTCCATTAATCATTTACAAGTAAACAACTCAATGTGGCTGATATGCTAAATTGATAAACTTTTGTTGAAAGGGGACATTTTTAAATATGAATTCGGAAAGAATTTGAATCAGAAACATTTTTTCTACGGGAGGGGTCTCACAACATAAACTAATATGTTTTGAATCATTCGTTTAAAGAGTTGCCCAAAATGATTACCGCTGATAATTAAGATAGACTTGTATGACTTCGCATTACGCTGATGTAAGAAATTTTTTCGTATTCTTGATTAAGACGATATTACGTGCGAATAGATCGAATAAATAATTCTTCTTCTTTGGTGCCATCTTCAATGAAGGTTGGCGATAACCTCAGCAAAATCATTTCTGTCCCTGGCTTTTCTTATTAAAGATTGAGAATCCAAACCAGTCCACTCACGAATGTTCTTCAACCAGGACGCCTGCCGTCTACCAGGACCACGTTTTCCTTCTACCTTCCACTCTATAAGAAGCTGCAGTAGCTGGTATTTCTCATTTCTGTATATGTGTCCCAAATATGAGGTTTTTCGTGTTTTCATTATTTTTAAGAGTTCTCTGTCGGTAATCTGTCCATACTAATATCTGCATCTAGTTTTTTGTTAATTCTTGAGTGGATTACTTTGATGAATACTTTTAATGTATGCCCCATTAAGTTTATAGTGCGGTAGTCAGTGCACTGTTTTATGTTACCCATGTTACAATTATGTTACCCAACGACAGCATTGGGTAACATAATTGCGTGATGTAGCATTCAGCGATGAATCACGATTCTGTTTAGTAATGAATGATGGTCGTAGGATGGTAAGATGCCACATGTACACAGGACAATTGGAGTGATGGTTTAAGGGGCTATTGCCTATGGTAGCCGATCATCAATTATTGTGTTTATTCAGAGCAATATGACAGCTGCGCGTTATGTTGGTGACATTTTACAAACGATTTTACTCCTTTATCTTGACGACCGTCGAGACGTCCTTTTTCGGTGAGACAGCCCACGTCCACATATTGCCCATCAAACTATGTACTTTCTCTAAGAAGCTGGCGTTAATGTTTTGGCCCGTGTACTAGATTTAAATCCTATCAAAGATGTATGGAATATGATGGAAAGGGGACTGTCCACTTTGCAAAACATTATTAATTTTTTTTGATTACTTGTTAATAAAAATTCTTGACAACGTTATCGTTTCATTCTTGATGTAAATATACCATGCCGTCAAAAAATTAAGTTCTAAAAATTATTCCTTCTGGGTGTAACACTTCTAATGTCACTGAGTATATATTTACCGAAAATATATTTGTACTTACATTGGTTCTTTGCCTATACATCTTGCTAGAAAGTCTATTACGTTAGCTGGAACAGTATGTAAAAAGAATTTTGTTAGTGCGTATACCCAATAACTTTCTACGGTAAAGAAAAAGTAATACCATATACATTTTTCAGAAGGTATTTGTTTGCCATATTTTTCCCCCAAGTTTTCAAATTCACCTAAAAATAAAAAAAAATCAGAAAAGAACACTAATCAAAATTATAGTTAAATATTATAGACAATTTTATATGGTATTCCATTACAAATGTATAATACAATTAGGGAAATACGAGATTAAAATAGGTCAATTAATACAAATATGCCATTATAAATTTTTTTTCTAAACAAAATTAAGAATTTAATTTTGTTTAGAATAAGAGTTTAAATAGTCGTTGTAAAGAGATGGTAATACTTTTGCAATAATTATGTGACCTATTTGAATAAAAATGGAGTCAGGATTTTTTATACTTGTCAACTTGTCAACTTCGATCTCTGTCAATAATAATGACGTGCAACGGTAAGTAAATTAGAATGATCGATAAGACTAACCAAAGAAAAGTGGAACTGAGCTGGCCTTGTACAGAGAAAGAATATTGGCAGGTGGACAATGCTGCCGTCCTAACATGAAAGGTCCTATCTGCAAAATTTAGGTTTTGAGAAAATCAAGTTTTTGTTTCTTTTCATTGTATAACGCTTGGTAATTTAAGAAAGTCTTTATGTTTTATTTTGTATATTATATCAGAGAATAGAATTGAATTGCTAGTCAGAATTTTGTTTTATTCTTTCCAGTTTAGTCGATTTTTGATTATATTGCCACTTAGGACAATTTAGCTTAGTGTATCTGAAGTACGTTTTTTTTTGTATTATTTACTGAAATTGTCCTAAATAAAACTAAAATTCAAATTAACTGAACACTTTTAATTTTGTTATACTAAATTTTATAAAATAATAGAACAAAAAACAGAATTCCTCAAGAATGGAAATCAAGGGAATGTGAATTAATTTATGGAACACAACACTAAAATGAACAACCAAAGTAATAACAAATAAACTGAATGAAATTATAACACTATCAGAAGAACCACAAGGTTTTAGGTCGTGAAGATTATGCATCCACGCTATATTTATAATGAGGCAAAGGCAAGAGAAATCATTAGAATACAACAAACCAGCATATCTATATTTCCTGAACCTTAAGAAGGCATTTGACTGAGTTAAACTAAAAGACGTTATCCACTTACTGTACGCAAGAGAGATACCTCCAGGAATAATCAAAACGATCGAAAATATCTACCAAAAAAACGCAATAAAAGTAAAAGTAGAAGAACTAACCGACCCTATTGTAGCTGGCAATGGGATAAGGCAGGGAGATTCTATGAGTCCTCTATTATTTAACCTAATTATGGATGAAGTAATAAAAAAAGTAAGAACTAAACAAGGATACCAAATGGTAGAAAAACAACTTAAAATAATCTACTATGCAGACGACGCCATACTGCTCTCTCAAAGTGAAGATGATTTACAACTTATGCTGCACCAATTTAATATAATCGCCAGAAAAATGTTAATTTCCCCAAAAAAGACAAAGTGCATGCTTACAACAGCAAATTTACTAAGATGTAAATTGAAGCTGGAAGGTCAGATAATAGAGGGAGTGATGGAGTTTAAATATCTAGGCATCACATTATCTAGCTACAGAACGCTCAAAGCTGAAGTGTAAGATCAAGTGAATAGAGCAAACAGCGCCGCATGCTGCCTGAATGAAACAATATAAAGAAATAAAAATATTGGAAAAGAAATGAATGACAAAATTTACAAAACAGTCATCAGACCAATAATGACATACGCGGTAGAAACAAGACCTGACACAGAGAGGACAAAAAGGATGTTAGAAACAGTAGAGATGAAAATACTCGGAAACATTGATGGCTAAACACTGTGGGATAGAGCTACGATGAGGTACAGAGTACAGAGATATGATGTATATGCAAGGTGAGGTACATCAGGCAAAGTAAGAATATCAAGAACTGTGTAAGAAATAGAAGAGTAGAATGGAACGATCATATAAGCCGAATGACAACAAATAGAGTAGTAAGGACGGCAAGAGACGGTTTCCCAACATTAAGACGATTAGTTGGAAGACCACGAAAACGATGAGATCAGTAGGAAGACCACGAAAACGATGAAACGGCAACTTACTGGAGGTACATTAAAAAACAGACAGCGTCATGTCTCTATAAAAAGAAGAAGTTTTAAAACTTAGTACACAATTTACATCCTAATATGTATATGTAACATAAATGATAATAGTTAGATCTATCGCTGTTCTGGCTAAGACATGCTGCATTGCTACAACCAGAAAATATAGACGCATGTGCGTCTATATTTTTTGCTACTACTACAAACAATAATTACGATCAGTTATTGCTTATACCTAAGGTCACATTATTAAACTTACCCTTCATCCATTTCTCACAATATAGGTTTTTATTTAAAATACCAAAAAGCATGAAAGTACTCCCAATGTCTGACAATAACAAATACCTTTATTAATTAATTATTTGAAGTTATGTTACAAACATGCTTATATCATACTACGCAAAAATTGTCCTAACTGATGCCGCTCAGTATAAAATACTAGCTTAAATAGTCCTAACTGCATTTTTAAAGTTATAACGGACAATTTTTCTTAGTATATGTGAGATAGGACAATTTATGTTAGTGAACATGGCTTTTTAGTCAGTTAGGACAAACTATTCAGGTATATAATAAGGCACTTAAGACGCTTATAGGACAATTTCATTTTGTACATACATAGATAATATGTTTACGCATGCCGTGAGCCAATAAAGTCATTTTACCAAATTTTGCAGACAGGACCTTTCATGTTAGGACGGCAGAATGATATTGGAATGTCAATCAAAAACTGTCAAAAGAGATATATAGAAATCTGTCTAGAGGATACTCAGATAACAAATGCTCAGTTCAGTATGGAAGAGAGTGGCTACTTTTGAGGACGGTGTATATCTAACAGTAGACACAGTAGGCTGCAAAATAATAATGACTAACTGAAGGAAAACGAAAACCCCGAAAATTGATATTTTATCATATAAGTTTTAAATATTAATCCAAGACAAATATCATAGATAAGAACAATTTTTTACTTACTCCAACTTATTGGTTTCTCTGGTGTCGAGACATAATTGTAGACATTTATGTTATCTTTTTCTTGTTTACTTTCCTCTTCTCGAATTTGTTTCTTTTCGTGTATATTCCTATAAATTAAAGTAAGATTAGGAAAAAATTAAAATTTAGAAAAGATATTCTACAAAAGTATCTCTTTTTGTAATACTAATATGGGTCGGCGTATGTGATAATATAAGATAACAAGCGATCCACAATAATTACTTTCATCAAAGTTTTCCGAGCACGAAAACAAGAAATTACATATATCTTGTTTTAATTTGAATTTTTATCATTTTGTTGATAAATTAATTTTGATTAACATTAAAAAAACCAGCCAAAAGCTTTAACACATAACTTTAATAAAAAAATTAACAAAATTATAAGTATATGTCCAGTACCAACATCTCAACGTAGGCGGTCTGATAAGTACTTAGCCTTATCGCCCGATAGCCCTAATATCTCAAGAGAAAAATACTATCGTGTAATACATTCTCGTAGAAGTCTAATGTAAAAATTTCAGTCGAATTGGACTCGTAGTTTCTGTGAATCTATTCTTGTTTTTGCAAGGGAAATAGCGCAGCGAAATTAAAGAGCGCTTGGATGCTGTGTACGGCGACTCTTCTTATTCGATAACAATCCTCAAAAATTAGTTTAACGAGTTCCAACGCACGACGGTTTTTGATGAGCCACGCCCAGGTGTCGCCAATCGACTACCACGGAGGATAACGTGACAAAAATTCACGATTTCATATTGGCAGACCGCTACGCTAACTTAGCAGACTGAAGCTACGCGAAATATCTGAGACAGCAGGTATCTCAAAAAACCGAGTATGTTATATCCTACGTAAAATTTTGGACATGAGAAAAGTTGTCGGCGCGTTTGCTCACTCCGGACAACAAGTTTAACTATAAAGCCACTTCAGAGCAATGTTTGACGCTATTTAAGCATAATCCGAAGTAGTTTCCACGTTTCGTAACCACTGAAAAGAAAAAAAAGACAATTTGAGCAAAAGCAATTGGAAAGCACAGAATTTCTAAGAAATCAAAATGAAACTCGAAAGTTCTACAGACATCTAAACAAAATGCGCAAAGAGTTTAAGCCAAGAATAAGGAGCTGTAAGGATGTAGAAGAAAACATCCTAAATGATACGGCCTCAATCCTAAACAGATGGATTGAATTTTTCGATGCAAAATTTAATGGCCATCATATCGAAGAAGCAGATAACACCCTAGCAAATCGAAATGATTAGAATCCTTTCAACCCAAACGAAAGACCACCTACCATCGAAAACGTTGCCCAAGCCATTAAAAAGCTTAAAAATAATAAATCACCAGGAGTTGATCAAATTTTCAGTGAGCTCTACAAGAATGGTGGCGATGCCCTACTACAGACACTGCATAAGCTTTTACTTCTTGTTTGGCATAATGAGACCATGCCTTGTGAATGGTCTCAAGGCGTGATATGCCCGTTACATAAAAAAGGTGACCAGCTCCAGTGTGATAACTATAGAGGTATAACCCTGTTAACAACTGCTTACAAAATACTAGCAAATATTCTCTACGAAAGGTACAAGTTTACACAGTGGGCATAGTTGGTAAATATCAAGTTGGATTCACTCCAGAAAAATCAACAATTGACCAGATTCATTCAATAAGACAGATTCTCGAGAAAACATTAGAATTCAATATTGAAACCCATCACCTATTCGTCGACTTCAAGGCAGCATACGACAGTGTCAAGAGAACAGTGCTATACCAATCAATGCATGAGTTTGGTATACCAGAGAAACTTATCCGACTAACTAGAATGACAATGTCTAACTTAGAAGCCACTGTTAGAATACAGGGAGAGAGTTCTAGATCCTTTGAGATAAAGGATGGACTCAGACAAGGAGATGCTCTGGCTTGCCTCCTATTTAATATTGCCTTAGAAAAGGCAGTCCGAGATACACGAATTAGGGACGGCGGTACTATTTACAATAGATCGATACAAGTCAGCATATGCTGATGACATTGACATAATAGGGCGTAGCAAGCGAAATGTTGAGCAATATCTCCTAGAATTGGAAACAGTGGCGAAACAGGACGGTCTAGTCATCAACGAAGACAAAACCAAGTACATGTTGGTTACAAAGGATCCGATAGCAAATGAGGAACGAGAAACAGTCTTTGGAAGTCATACCTTTGAACGTGTTGACAACTTCACATACCTTGGGTCGCTATTGACTGCTACCAATAAAACAAGCGAAGAAATCAAAAGACGAATAAATCTTACAAATAGGGCATACTTTGGACTCCAAAAGCATTTCCACTCAAGAAACATTTAAAGAAGAACTAAAATTATTATATACAAAACATTGCTGAGACCGGTCCTCACATATGGAGCAGAAACATGGACATTAACGCAGAAAGATGAAAGACTTTTGGGAATATTTGAGCGTAAAATACTCCGCAAAATATTTGGAGCTGTAAACGACCAAGGGCAGTGGCGCAGAAGATATAATTTTGAATTGTATCAGCTCTTTGACGAACCAGATGTCATAACGTTCATTAAAACACAGCGACTTAGATGGGCTGGACACATAATACGAATGCCAGAAAATACCATTGCTAAAAAGCTAACCACAGGAACACCTGTAGGAAAAAGAAGCAAAGGCCGACCGCGAATTAGGTGGTTAGATGGAGTAGAAACCGACTTACGAATATTAAAAATCAGAAGATGGCAACATGTTGCCAAAAACCGAACAGAATGGCGACGAATCTTAGAGCAGGCCAAGATCCACAGAGGATTATCGAGCCAAAGATGATGATGATGACGAAACATGAATCCACTCGTACACACAGGGACCAAGATACAGCCAAAATAGTGGCGGCACACGGCGAACGTGCTCCGAAGGAGGAGAATACTGTCCTATCGGACAAAAAGGTGATGGCCACCATTTTCTGGGATTCATAAGAGGTGATCTGCGTCGACTATTTGGAAAATGGCAAAACGGTCACAGGGCTCTACCCCGAATTATTGGGCCAATTCGACGCCTAATTGCATACAAATGACCCCATTTAGCGAAGAACAAAGTGCTCCTTCACCATGACAACGGTTCCGCTCATACCTCCGCCGTCGGCATGACAAAATTGGTCGACATGGGTTACGAACTGTTGCCCTATCCACCATATTCTCTAGATTTGGTCCCCTGTGACAGCAAAAACGCCTTTTTGTTATCACACTTGAAAAAGGTACCTGCTAGGCAGAAATTTAAGAGGAAACAGGAGGTAATCACCGTCATGGAAGCCTACTTTGCAGACCTCCAGTAAACGTCTTTTCAGACGGGTTAAAAAAGTTGGGTAAAGTGTATCCAGCTAAAAGTAGACTATGTTGAATAAGAACTCGCCACTTCTCTTAAGTCTTTGTCCATTTGTAAAATACATTTCGAGTATAGATCGCTTTTGTTCATCCGTGAAAATCATTTTTAATAATAATTTTGTGTACTAAATCTAGAAAAGTCAAAGTTGACGTAAACTGTAAAAGAAATGCGCTGTAGCTGTATCTCTGTCCTTCAGAGCCCACTATGATGACAATAATTTTCTAGACATAGTTATGTTTTAAATAAAGTTAAAATATTATCGGAATACTCGTACATTGGGCACCATAGACGGAAAATAGTTCTGTGTAACTGGTCTTGATAAGACTACCAAATCTCACTTATGGCTTAGCGTAACACACTCCTAGCAATTGCGTTGGTCTGCAGGCTAAACTTAATGAGATTAGTCGATATTATAATATCGAGTACTCTCATTATAGTAGTCTATATTATGATAGGATAATCAGGCCAAGGCCATTTTTTGGTTCTGAGATTGAAAAATTGCCCTCCAAGGTGACTGAATAGTTTATAGCTATTGTAAAAGCTTTCGATTGGGGTAAGGTTAATATAAATTAATCTGTGCTAATTATTACAGACTCTCTTTCAGTTTGCAGGCTATTAAATGCCTTCGTTTAAATTATTATAACAGTAATTTTATACTATCTATAAAAATATTCACTTCAAGAGTATGATATAGGAGTAATATAGGAATGACCTGTGAATGAAGCAGCTGATCTTGCAGTTAAGTAATCACATAACTCAGAATTAAGGCAACTCATCAGACATTATTAATTTAAATAAGGATGATAGGTTTAGGTTTAAGTTTCTTCAACTACAAAATTGACGAGACCCTTGGTAAATTCAAACTAAAGATATCGTCTCTAAAAGAGTTGACGAAAGTTATTTAACTACTAAAGATAGAAAACTATAGATAACTACTTAATATAAAAATTTTATTTAAAAAGGAACCCTTTTGGGTTACATCATAGGATATTTTTGGAATGAGAATTCCGTCTAAATTTATTAGCAACGATGTAATATATAATAAATTTTATAACTTTTAAAGGGTTTTTACGCAAACATTTAGTGGCTTCACTCATGTATACCCAGTAACAGCACTGGAATTGTCATTCCGAAAACGTTTTGTGATAAATAAATATATCTTTTTATAAACAATTAAAAAGAATTTTTTAAATAAAAATTTTTGTGATTTATGGAATACAGCCGATATAGGAAATTCATTTTCTTTGTGAATTTTATTTATTATAAATGAAATCACCATAAGAGTTATAGAGTATAACCGAATAGTAGGTATTATATTTTCTCAATTGTATTTATTTAATAATTTAAATAATTAAATATATTTATAAGATTGTGTATACCTATATTCACAGAAAGTAACTTACTTAGCACAAGCAACATCCCAAGCAGCTGCTATAGAACTGTTAACAACGAAATCTGCTGGCACTAAATCGGCATTATTTGTTTTCTTTAATTGCATCACTCGTAAAACGCCTAGAGCCGCGCCCAATAGGACGCCTGTGGCACCATATACGTTATTTATCCAACCACCTATAGGTTCCTTGGCTGTAGCGATCACTAAAATTTATAAAATGTGTTATTTAATAACCAAGTACCATTCCACAGAAAATTTGGTAAGTTTACACTGAATCTACATAGGCACTAGATTAGGATTATACCGTGATTAAAACTTTTAACTCTTCCAATTCCAAGTTTTTATAGGTCTGTTTTTTTAGATTACCTTTTAAATTCTCTTTTCCAAATATATTTCTATACAAATAACCATATTTATAGGTTAGGTATATCAATTATTTACAATTTTTTCATAAATTTTTGGTTTTCCGGATTAGAAGTATACACATCAAAAACAAAAAAAAATGGATTTTTTTATTTATTATAAAAATGGATTATAAAAAATATTTAGTTCAAAACATTCTACAAGAATATTGTTTCAGAATTTTAATCAAAAGATCGTTAAGATGGATCCAAATAGAAAAAGAGAATAGTGGGTTATATAGAGAAAAAGGTGGTAATATGAAACATGATGACAATATATATTAGTGATTCAGTTGACTCGAGTTGTAACGATCCCAAACTAAAAAGAAAATGCAACATACTGTTACAGCTCTTTGAGAAAAGAAAATAGAATCTTAAAAGCATTCCACCATTTTTAAGTGCCTAAGACAAATCCTTGGCCACTTGCTTTAGAAGTAAATTTGTCCTCAGCGACAGTTGTCACTAAAAAGCTAGGACAGGAACCAGCCCTACCTGCAAAATTAGAAAATCAACTTGTGACAATTTAAAATAAAAAGAGACCAGATACTATGGTTTTACACGTATGGATGTATGAAAAATTGCTTTCCAACTTGGTATCCGAAACGACATTAAAACTGCGGAATTTCATTGTATATTTCATACAATTGTATGAAACAAAAGTCGTCAAATTATAGCCTGAAAAGGTCAGTGACAGGTAGCATTACTTAGATCAGGTGAACGAGGTTAACTTGTGCTGGTGAATTTTATGTCCCTCTGTTGATGGTTTTCCCAAAATATAAATGTGAAAAATACATTGTTAAAGGCGCTTCTCAGACAGTTGGTAGGGCTGATACCTCAGGGCGGATACAGTCAAATCTTTTCACCGACTGGTTAAATTACTACATTGAGAAGACTTATATCTCGGAATATATACATGTACTGTTAATAATTCTTGATCGACATGTGACACACGTCGACAAAAATTAATGTCATTGACACAACAAGAATCATATAGACGTATATGATTCACTTAAACATAAACTTCAGTCGTTGGACAGGACCTTCGTAAAAGCTTTTCTGAGATACTAAAGCGAAAATGTTATGACTATAAATGAGGCATAAAAATAATCCACTTGCTATATCTAATCATTACAAATTCTATTTCTTACCTATGGAAGGTCGAAGTAAAGCAGCTGGTATATTTTTTGCTTCCTTTCTTACAATGTCTTCAGCGATACATTTTGTAAATGTATACGTATTTGGATATTTACCAAGTAATCTAAAATTAAGTTTTTTTAAAGATTAATAGTTAAAATAATAGAGTTGCAATACAGTCAGTTACAATCAGTGCTTGTTTATTTGTATAAATTTTAGAAACAAAATTATTAAAATCATTTTATTTAGTTCCCTTATACTTCAGTCGTCTAAGAGCCAGAATCTCTAAAAATCATACGAACAAGCTGAATTTAACTGAGAATGTAAATTTTGGGGCCCCAGTTTACCACTTTTACCCCCTGGCTTCCCCCTAAAACCCAACCCATATTCAAGAATCTGTTGAACAAAAATGTTTATTAGCACTTTTTGCGTAGAATGAACCGTTCTCTCAGAAACAATACTTGAAGCGACCTCGCATTTTGAATGTTAGTTACGCACGCGAAATCAATTCTAAATAAAATTTGTATTAACCCGACGGTAAAAATTCGATATCTTGTGATCAAAGTCTTCCATCGATAAAAAACAAAATGCTTTTTAAGGGTAAAAGTTGTATTACCCTGCAAATGAAATCAGTTTTTATAAAGGGGCTAAATAAATAAATGTTGCACGATTTTTGCCATTGATGTCATGAGATCAATTAAATGTATCCCTTTCATGTGGTAGGTCACCATTGAAGTTCCATTATTAGAGCCTAAAGCTATAGCATAAAATTTATGTTTTGTTTTGACAACAAATGTGAGGTAACGCCTAAAAAACGTTAAACACGTTTACTTTAAAAATAATCTAAAATGTTAAAAACTGCTCCTTTTCAATTATCCAGGTATGATTTTCAAACCTACACAACATCAACTACAAATTTGACTTAACACCGTGTTCGTGAAGGCATTTTCTGTGACGTGCGATTGTTTGAAATGTAAAAGTTTAAATTCTGCATTCTTAGGCATATTTCAAATGCCTCATAATTCTTGCCAGAATTGGAAATTTTATGTTATATGTTTTGAAGATTATGCTCAAAAATTACACTACGAACGGTCAATGAAAGTGACACATTTTATTGATCTCATGAAAATGATAAAAAATGACAAAAATCGCACAACGTTTATTTAGTTAACAACTTTATAAAAACTTACTTTATTTGCTTTAAAATACAATATTGTTCGTCTTCTCCAAATATTCTCTGTCGTTTGTATTCTCCAGGAAATTTTTCTGAACACTTTTTGCTTAAAAACATCACTGTAGGTCTTATTATTATCTTGCAGACTCCCAGTTTTGTTGTTCTTGACACATTTTTTACTTTCACTATTTAATTAAGTCAAACTACCGCTCTGCTTCCCTTTACTATTATTTTGTCTATCTCTTTTTCTTTTTTTTTGTCGTATTCGTTATGGGCAGCCCTGTCCCTTTTTCAAAATTATGGACAGCCTCTGCTTCTTTTATTTTGATATGTATGCTATCATGTGTTATGTCTTCGCTCATTTTCACATATTCCGTTTTTGTTTGATTTATTGTTATCTTATCTTTTGATTTCTTCTTCTAACCTTCTGGAAAACTTTCTGGATTTTTTTTTTGTTATCGCTAGTATCACATTATCCGCATTAACTATGCAAAAATGTTCCTTGCTATTGAATATGGTCCTGTTTGTGCTCATATTTGATCTTCTTACGATTTGTTCTAATTCTAGGTTTAAAAAATTTGTTTATATCAGATCAACTTGTTTTAAACCTTTATTAACAATGAACTGCCTTGAAAAGATTTCTTCCATCGTTACCCTATTTTTCATGTCTCTTGCCGTCATTCTTACTAGCCTTATAAGTTTTTCTAGTATTTCTAATGTTTGCATGGAGTCAATAAATACCCTTCGGATATTTATTTCCTCTGGATTTTTTTATTTACTGTTTAAAAATATAAGGACTACAGAGGACTCAGTATTATAGACAGGTAGATTTTACGGCAGACGATTACAAGGTAGAAAACAAAGTCTGATTAGTGGAAGGAACATAGTGATTTTAAATCTGGAAGGTCATGTGTTGATAAATTGTTTTGTATTAAACAGTCACAACTTTTATAAACAGAACATCAGTTGTGTCAAAACGCGAAATGGATACTCGGAATTATTTTAAGTTAACAAAAGGTCTGAGACAACGATGTTGTCTGTCTCCCCCTCTACAAAATTTATATGAACTCGGTTCTGAAACAATGGTTCAAAAATGAAAAAAAATGGGCATAGAAGTTGAAGAAGGTAATATAACTACCTTATTATTTGCTGTTATCTAGATTGTGCTAGCAAAATATGTTGAACACGCTACATATATTATGTTTTGGAAACTCGAGGAGGAATTTATGAAGTGTGATCTAGAAATAAAAACGAAATACATGACAATAAGCTATCCAGGAAATGATTTAGACGTAGAAGGGAATGTATGAAAACATACCAATAAATATAAATACTTGGAAGTTATACTTATCTAAGATGGAAGTGACGAGAAGATCTCTTTCTCTCTTTATATCTCTCTCTCTTCAGTGAGTGTAGTGGTCATCGTGATGTCGTATATTGTTAATGAATGCATATGTTTTTGCATATTCTTGTAATTTGGTTAATCCATCTTGTTGATGTTGTTCGTGATCTTCAGCCTTCTATCTTTGATTAAATAATAAATATTTTTATAATTTCTGTGTCTGTCCTCATAACATGTCCAAAGTACTTTAATTGTTAGAGATGAACTTTGTTTAATAGCCATTTGTTAATCTTTAGCTCATTTAAAATTGAATTATTTGACTCGTAGTCGGTTCACGGAATTCATAATATTCTTCTCCACCAGAATATTTAAGTTTCGTCTATCTTTGTTCTTTTCGCTTGTCGTAGGGCCCAAGATTAACATCCTTACGTCATTATTAGGAATATTAAACAGTTGATCAACGTCATTTTTAGAGTTCGTTAAATTTAAGAGTTCTTCTTTATTTTGGCCATCTTTCCTACGGCTACTTTTGACAGATCATATCTACGTTTTATTTCTTCCTGTAGTAACCCTGTGTTTGTGATTAATAATTCCAGATATAAATAAGAGCACAAAATATCAAACCAGTCAGTCGTGGTTATGTGTGGATGATTGTTATGTAGTCTATCCACTATCATGACCTTCTTCTTTGATATGTTTAACTGCAGATGGACCCCAAGTAGAACGAAAAAAAGAAGACCAAAATCTTGAAAAAAAGGAATTAATATAGTCATGAATAGAAGAGACATAGAAGTAGACTTCTGGCAAAACAAAGCAACCTATTATTGATAGAATTGTAGAACTTGAATAAACTTGATATAAATTATCCACGGGCAATAAGATTCGTCTGATATATTAAAATTTCCAATGTAGTTTAGCCCTAATATTAGTTAGACATTATAAAATTGGTTCTACATACAAAAACAAATAAAAAACTTACCCTGGAGTAATGGCGAGTAAAGTATTTTCATCCAAGGTGTCTACTAAATTTATTAACGTCTCTGGATCGACAGGTGGATCATAAAATTTTTCTTCTATAACAGGATGTATACAATTTGAATACGCTGTGGAGCAATGTAAAAATGCCTGAAAATATTAAAAAGTTATAACTTCCCCAAGTATTATTCCCTCCTAGCTATATATTAATGTCTAAATACATAATTTTCTCTTATGGTGCCATATCCAATTTGAACATCTCGCGTCGTCCGCTCATCTGCACATATCTATTCTACGGACTAGTGTTTAGTATACACAGATATTTGGAATTTATAGTTTATTGTCAATTCCGAATAACTAAGACTATAGAAGACCTTTACTAGGTAAATTAGAACTTCATAATTTCCTATTACCTTCGCGGAGACGACCTTGTCGATAATTTTAAGTTTTCTTTTAAGTTTATTTTTTGGTTGAAATAAAAGAGAAGAAAAGACGAGTTTATAAATTACATAGAAAAGGCTTTATAAGAAATACAAGAGAAACAGATGCCATAAATGTGTTAAATCAGTCCTTATTCGGATCGATAGAGGCCAAACGATATTCGAAACGTCACATAAACTTATTTTACTGTAAAATTGTGGCTTATTCCCAGTAAAAATAGTAAATTGTATTATCATATCACACGAAACTAGCTTAAGAACAATATTAAAATGGAAGAGTGAAAAAGCCAATAAAAAATAAACACAAATAAAAAAGAATGGCTGAATTCAAGAAAAAAATATTTAAGACAATAAAAAGGATGTAAGGATACACAAATATGTGAAGGAAACACGGAAACACAGAAGAACAAAAAAACCTACAAAAGTTCTAAGAAGAGAGCTGTTAGTAAGAAAACAAAACAACAAAACTCTGGATATTAATAGGATGGATAACAAATTTAAAAGAAATCTCTGGATGACATTTTTCTAATAACTAAAGTAAAATGATTCCAAGGGTTCACAAAAAAAACTCCGGATGATCAGAGAGACAGTAAATATATTCAGGTAAATAAATTCATTATTTAAAAAACAACTTACAATAAAGTAAAAACTTATTTTTGTAAAATTAAGTCATTGTAAGAAACTAGGTCATTCTTGTAAAAATGACCTCTCTCTCTTCAATCCTGATCCCCCAGGGGGAGCGTAGTGGTCGACGTGATGTCGTGTATTGTCCGTCTCCAGAGATCTCTGTCTCTGGTCATTTCTTTTAATTCATGTGTGGGCATAACATGCCCAAAATATTTTAATTGTTGGAGATGGACTTTACTAAAGAGTCGTTGGCTAACTTTTAGCTCTCTTAAAATTGAATTATTTGTTCTACTATCGGTCCAAGGAATTCGTAACATTCGTCTCCAACAGAACATTTCAGTGGCGTCTATCTTTCTTCTCTCCGATTGTCTCAGAGTCCAAGATTCACATCCGTAGGTCAGTATTGGGAATATTAAGCAGTTGATCAACCTCATCTTTATCGCTCTGGAAATTTGACAGTCCTTCCATATTTCGGTCATTTTTGTTGTGGCAACTTTTGCTAGATCACATCTACGTTTAATCTCTTCTTGTAATGACCCTGAGTTTGTGATTAATGATCCCAGATATAAGTATGAGCTCACAACCTCGAACCGGTCAATTGTGGTTATGTGTGGATGATTGTTGTGTAGTCTATCCACTATCATGATCTTTGTCTTTGATATGTTTAATTGCAGACCAAATATTTGACTTTCGTTTTCGATCAGTCGTATAAGTTCCATCAGCTCTGCTTGACTATTTGCAAGAAGGGCTGTGTCATCTGCGAAACGTAGGTTGTTTAGTTTATGACCATTTATTAAGATGCCCTTTTCACATCCTTCAAGTGCTCTTCGCATAATATACTCCCCATATATATGTTGAATAATTGTGGAGATAGTATACATCCTTGTCTGACACCCCGTTCTGGATGAAACTCGTTCGAAAGTGTGTCAAGTACTTTAACTGATCCAGTAGTGTGTTCATATAGTTCAGTTATAAGCGTAATTAGATGTTGTGGTACGCCTACTTCTCTTAGTATTCGCCATAAGTGTCTCCACTTGACCCTGTCGAACGTTTTACGGTAATCTATAAAACAGATGTATAGTGGGATGTTGAATTCCCTAGATTTCTCGATTATCTGTCTTATATTCAGCAGGTGTTCTCGAGTGCCTCTACCTTTGGTAAATCCAGTTTGCTCTGGTGAAATTTCTCTTTGAAGGAATGTTTTCAGTCTCTCATTGATTATATGTAGCATTTTCTTGCTGGCATGGGATATAAGAGAGATAGTTCTATAATTGTCGCATTTATGGAAGCTGCTTTTTTTATCTATGGTCATTATTGTGGATTTTTTCCAGTCTTCAGGCCATTGTTTGGAATGCCATATTTGGTTACAGAGTAGATGAAGTAACTTTACGCCGGTTTCTTCTGTGGCTTTAAGCATTTCTGCTGTTATCATATCTGGACCTGGTGCTTTGTTATATTTGAGCTTGTTGATAGCCTGTCTTACTTCATTTTCGAGTATATCAGGTTCTTCTTCCACCTCGTCAGAAATTTTGCTAACAAGCTCTTGGCGTTTTTTATCTTTATATAGGTCCCTGCAATACGATCTCCATGTCTCTGCTATGTCTTCTCTGTTTGTTCTCAGGGTTCCAGTCTTATCTTCAATGGCCCAAGTTCTGGCTCTGAAGTCTCTTGTCAAGTAGCGTATTTTTCTAAATAGATCTCTCGGCTGATTATTCTGACCATGTCTCTCAATTTCTTTGCATATACTTTGATAGTACTGTTTTTTGTCGGCCTTACATCTTCGTTTTATTTCTTTATTGAGGTTTCTTAAACTAGCTTTTTCCCTTTCACTATGTACACCACTTTTACAAAGAATTCTTCTATTCTCAATTACTTTAAGAGTTTCATTTGTTATCCAGTGTTTCCGTTTCACCGAATTATTTTTCTTTGAGCGATCCACTGGTGTTGTTACGCAGTGTTTAATAGTCTCCCATATTTCTTGTGATGTTCCGTTACGAATAGAGGGCATACGTTTCTGTACTTCCTAAAAAATTACCTAGTTTCCTATTAATTATAATGTTGGTTAGTTAAATTAACTAATTTGAGGGTCATCTGACCTCATCATGTGGTTAGTTCCAAATACTATATAGACGTAAGTACTAATTACATTTTTAATTTAACAGTCAAAACTTTACCCCTTTTGTTTTCATTTTTAAGTGGTTATACTTTTAGTTTTTTCACTGAGGATGATCTGATAATCGAAAATTTTCTGAAAATTTATGAATCTATTTTGAATAATTTTTAAAAATTTTAATTTCATGAAAGATGTTTTAAATAAATGTGTCCTCAACTGAATTAATTATCTTTTTTAATTAGTTTATTTGAAGAGTTACACGTCATGTTATAATATAACAATATGTAATTTTTTAAAAACCCACATATTGAAAAGAACATGTCAAAAAATGGCTTAGAGGATTTGTAACAAAAGTTATTGTTTGGAAAAAATCTACAGAACTATCGAACAAATTAGTTACTTTAATAATTTCTACCTGACTAATTATGTGATGTAAAAAAAGTGTCATTGCATAAAGGCTGATTTATAAACTTTACGTTGGCGTTGGCGCTGGCGCTGACGTTCGCGTTACAACATGGTCAAATGGAAAACTCGTATGTCTATTTATAAACATCGTTCGCCGTTGGCGTCGTCGTTCGGTTCCGTTCAAGATGAACCAACTTTATCTTTTGCCGTTGGCCGTTGTAGCATAGAATACACAAACCCTTCTGTGGTTGTAGTCACGATCTCAGAACATAAAATAAAACTGTACCTTTGTCATCGCAGCCAATAGCAATATCCAAAAAGTGACAAAGTTTGTCAAACAAATTAAACAAAATTATTTGTTTATGTTTCCACCTGTTTATAATGTGGAAAAGTTTAGATAATAACAAGCCTCTCTTCAACAGAAATTCCATCAGAGCGACAGTTTACATTTGTTTTTGGTTTTAGCATTTGCAGTAATTTTTCAAATACTGGAAACTGTATCCTGGTATATTTAAAAAACTGCTGGGTATCCCAGTTTTTCATATTTTTATAATAATTAAAATTACCTCTTGTCTTTCTGTTCTGGTTAATGGGCCTCAGTTTGTATCGACAGTGCTGCTCGAATACAAAGTATCAGTGCCACTGCACCTAACAAAGGCCGAGCATTTTTCATTGTATTAATTTTCAAGCAAAAATTAATAATACCAAATCAAAAATGTAAGGCAAGAAATTAAGATGTGATCTTTAACGCCAACGCCAACCGAAAGTTTATAAATGCAGTGTATGATAGCTAGCGCCAAGGTCAACGGCGAACGCCAGCGCCAACGCCAACGTAAAGTTTATAAATCGGCCTTAAAAGTTTGTAACTAGACGCCTTGCAAGATGTTTTTCTCTCTCTGTCCAATGGCGCTACAGCCCAAAACCCCCAAATTATGCTGCCAAACTTACCTGTCCCACGCCGCACATCTCCAAGCTCTCACGTCTAGCAAATGTTGTAATGTTGTTCGCTGCCACTTTGGCATTTTGAGAACGATTTCCGAAGTAAAAATCGAAACGTCAAAATAAACTTATTTTAAAGTAAATTTGTCGTTTAATTCCAATGAAAATAGTAAATGGCCTGATAAGCCATAAGTTTTGTAGACTATGATTTTCAATCTCCAGTATGTGGTTTTAAAGCAGAACATACGGGCGAGTGATAAGTAAGCTTTATTTCCCTTTACTATTTTTCTTTTTGGATTTTTGGTTCTTTTGTTCCATCTTTGCTTAATTAAATTGCCAAATATGTGAAAATTGTAACTGTTTAAATATCGTCCTCTAATTCTATTTTTCTTAGCCCTTTCTCGCCTGTGTTAGTTTTTTTGTTTTGTATATTTATTTCTAGTCCATTCTTTCTTGCCTCTTTTTTAAATTGTGAATATATTTCTGTCTACTTTTCCGTTCTGTGAGATATAATGCTGATGTCATTGGTATGGGCGGCAATTCGTATTAATTTATTTATTAGATTAGCTCTTCCTATATTCAATTCTCTTTTCACATACATATTTGGGAGTGAGGTTGAACATATT